CTAAGAATGGTGTGGAAGAGAAGGACAAAGAGATGGATCTGTCGGAAGAGGACAAACAACTTCAGGAGGAACTGGAACTGTGTGTCCAACGCCTGAAAGAGCCGAACGCCACGCTCTATAAGCCGGCGTTGGAGTCGTTGCGACAGCACATCAAGAGTGCCACCACTTCCATGACATCCGTCCCGAAACCACTCAAATTCTTGAGACCACACTATCAGACACTTAAAGACCTTTACAATCAAATGCCGAGCGAAGACACCAAGAGTTTTATGGCCGACATTGTGTCGATTCTGGCGATGACTATAAACCCGACCGAATCGGTGAACACCAGCGGAGAGGCGTTGAAATACCGGCTGATCGGCAGTCACGAGACAATCGGGTCGTGGGGTCACGAATACGTGCGGCACCTGTCGGGAGAGATCGCCACCGAATGGCAGTCGGAAACGGCCACCGATGACAGCAAGAAAGAGCTGTTGGCTTTAGTGCAGGACATCGTTCCCTACAATATGCTGCACAACGCCGAGTCCGAGGCCACCGACCTGTTGATGGAGATCGAGCGCATGGATCTGTTGGAACAGCACATCGATAACGACGACTTGTGTCAGAAGGTGTGTCTGTATCTGACGAGTTGTGTTCCCTTCGTTCCCGACCCCGAGAACACCACTCTCTTGAAGACAGCGCTCAGCATATTCTTGAAGTTCAATAAATACAGCGAAGCCTTACGGCTGGGAATGCATTTGGGAGACATGAAGCAAATCATCGCCATCTTCCAGGCCTGCAAAGACCCCGTCCTTCAGAAACAGTTGTCGTTTATGATCGGAAGGCAACAGATATTCCTAATGGACGACATCGACGATCAGGATCTGCTGGAAATCATATCCAACACTCAACTGAACACACATTTCCTGCAATTGGCGCGAGAGCTCGACATTCTGGAGCCCAAAACGCCGGACGATATCTACAAAACGCATTTGGAGAACACGACTCGACCGGCGTTTGGGGGCGCGGGTGCGGTGGACTCCGCTCGAGCCAATCTCGCCTCGTCTTTCGTGAATGGTTTGGTGAACGCGGCGTTCGGTAGGGATAAGATCCTGCTCTGCGAAGACGGCAACAAATGGCTGTATAAGAACAAAGAGCACGGAATGCTTTCGGCCACCGCATCGCTCGGCCTAATCCTGCTCTGGGATGTCGACGGAGGACTCGCGCAGATCGACAAATACTTGTACTCCAGCGACGACAACATCAAAGCGGGCGCTCTGTTGGCCTGCGGTGTTGTCAACTGCGGTGTTCGTAACGATTGCGATCCAGCGCTCGCTCTTCTCGTCGATTACGTGACCAACAATTCGATGCCGATGAGAGTGGGCTCTATCATCGGCTTAGGCTTGGCTTACGCCGGCTCTAACCGTAATGATGTCCTTTCGGTTCTTCTGCCCGTTCTATCGGACAGTAAATCATCGGTCGAAGTGATTGGAGTGACGGCCCTATCGTGTGGTCTCATAGCTGTCGGTTCGGGCAATGGAGAGGTGACCTCACAGATAATGCAAGTGTTCATCGAAAAGCCCGATCTGGACGTGAAGGACAACTTCGTCCGATTCCTACCCCTGGCGTTAGGGCTCTGCTATTTGGGTAAACAGGAGAGTTCGGACACCATTGAAGCGGCCCTTGAAATCATACAAAACCAATCACTGAAGGCTCTCTCCAAGACATTGGTGGACGTGTGCGCCTACGCGGCCACCGGTAATGTGCTTAAGATTCAGAACTTACTTCACATTTGCTCCGAAAAGACTGAAAAGGAACCGACAGAAGAAGCGACCGGAACTGATAAGAACAAGAAGCCGACCGCTGCTAAAGTGGAAAGCGTTGACTATTCGTGGCAACAATCTGTGGCTACCATTGGAATTGGTTTGATATCTATGGCCGAAGATATCAGTTGCGAAATGGCGTTCAGAACTTTCGGACATTTGCTGAGATATGGCGAGCCTATGATCAAGAGAGCCGTACCCCTGGCTCTGGCCCTCACATCCATTTCAAACCCAAAGCTCAATATCTTGGAGACGTTGAGTAAATTCAGTCACGACTCGGACACAGACGTGGCGTGTAATGCCATATTCGCCATGGGTTTGGTGGGCGCGGGCACTAACAACGCCCGATTGGCCACAATGTTGAGACAATTGGCTCAATACCACGCAAAGGAACAGAACTGTCTGTTTATGGTTCGCATCGCACAGGGATTGACACATCTGGGAAAGGGAACCCTCACTCTCTCCCCATTCAACTCCGATCGGCAACTCTTAATGCCGACCGCTTTAGCCGGACTGTTGGCCACTGTTATCAGTCTTTTGGACGTGAAGTCCACTATTATTAAGTCTCATTATTTGCTCTATTATTTGGTGACCGCTATTCAGCCCCGAATGTTGATCACAATGGATGAGGAGTTAAACCCACTGCCGGTTCCGGTCCGAGTGGGACAAGCGGTCGATGTTGTGGGACAGGCGGGTAAACCCAAGACCATAACCGGCTTCCAGACCCACACCACTCCCGTACTGTTGGCTTTGGGCGAAAGGGCAGAGTTGGCCACCGAAGAGTACCTCCCATTGACTCCAGTTCTCGAAGGATTCGTTATCTTAAAAAAGAATCCCGATTTCAATAAATAAATTTGTTTTTTAATTCACATTTTCTATTTGTATATAAAAAATAAACTCAAATTAATTAACATTTTTCTAATAATTTAATTAAGTTTTATCTCTATTTCTGGTCTCAAAAATAAAAATTGCTTTCAAAACGAGTTTTGAGTTTTTTATTTGTCAATCATTTTGTGTGCAAAACATGTGAAACACTGTTTTGATGAGTGAATGCAATGTTTGTTTTGATTCTAACCTCAACTCTAAGATGGGATCAACTGTTTTGACCACACAATCAATATATACGTGAAAAGTGTTGATCCAAGAAATAGTCACTGAAATCAAGTCAATGATTATCAGCAAACAATTGGTGGCAAAACTCGTAATCTTTGTCTCACTTTTCTACTTAATATTCAATGCAATTGTTTATAAACTTTGTGTCCAATTGTTTGACACCAATCATAACAATTGGACACAAGAAGTGACACAAACTGAGATTAAATTGACATTCATTTTGATTGAATTCGAGTTCTTTGACAACGATTTAAAGGAGACATTGGATTCGGTCTGCAGTTTGTCATCGATTCATACGATACTTATTGTGTCCGAAAAGCCTATATATCCGGCCATCGATGGACTTCTGGCCAAATGTCACATCAAATTCATTTCAACACATTTTCAATTAAACCAGAGTTTAATTGATTCCCGAATCGAGAGTCATATCGACAGTGAATTAGTGGTCATTACTCCGGACGCCATTAGAATCGGTTCCAAACGATTGCTCAAGAATTCCATTCAATACTTAAATAAATTAAATTCAGCGCAAAGAACAGCACTAATACTTCCGATCGGTTCCAACTCATCCACAAATATAGCAAACAATGATTGCATTCAAATAGAGTTTGATATAAAACGATGGAGTTTGAGGTCGAGACGAACGGATCCAAAGAACGGTTGCGATGCATTTGAAGGCAACGATTACGCCGTTTTGATCTCAAGAACCCATTTATTACAACTGAACCGACCGTTTGTGCGGCCATTCATTGAATCGCTTTTCATTCAATGCAAACTCAATGAAATCAAAGTAAAACTTTTCGCTAATCAGGTGTTGATTAGAGGCAGAGATCTGTTCACAAACGGACGCAACCAATGGAAGCGTCAGTTATGGACACAAGAAAGACGAAAGGCTTTCTATGACATGATTGGTGTCAAGAAGATGATTGATTCTAAGGGATCAGTCCATTGGTACGGATGCGACAAACACTCGCAAAGATGTTTCCCAACAGTTATTAACGAAATGCCTGATTATCTTTACAATAATCGGTGGACTCCTGTCTGTTGTATAGAGAATTTGGCCAAAACTGGTCGACACGTGTTTAAGATATTAGAGACCTATTCAGTGAGGTATTGGTTAGAGGGCGGGTCGCTGTTGGGCGCCGCCAGAGATGGACACATCATTCCCTGGGATTATGACATCGATATCGGTGTCTATGAGGACGACATTAAGAAGTGTCCGTATTTTCCCGATTCGTCGCCAATAGTAGATGAGAATGGATTCGTTTGGGAGAAGGCATCGGAGGGCGACTTCTTTAGAGTACAATTTAGTCAAACCAATCGATTACACGTCGATATCTTTCCCTTCTTCTCGAGGAACGGAACGATGACTAAAAACACATGGTTTGAGTCCCACATTCAAGACACCGAATTCCCCGAACACTTCTTGCGTCCGCTCAACAAAATACCATTCATTGGGATCAATGTCTCCGTTCCTAATCATTGGCCAGATTTTCTCGAATATAAATTCGGCAAAAATGTGATACAAAACCCTAAATATCCGAAACCAGAGCTTTTGAAATTCGCCAATAATACCAAAGACTATGTTTTTTGATACTAAATCATAATTGTATTTATTGTTAATTAATTAAAATTGAAATAATAATCTGTTTCATGATATACAAGATTTAGAGAATCGATCAAAAAGTAGTAATAATAATAATAATAATATATATTATCAAACACTTAAAACACTTTTTAGTCTCTTAGCCCGAGATTTAGCACACAATCTGTTTATAATATGTAGTCAACTCATGAGAGCAGAAAAGTTACAAAAACTTGTCAATCATTTGACGATCAAATTGTTGGCAAAGAATTGATAGAAAATAATAATTTAGATATAAATTAGGATAAGAATCGATCGTTAGTTTTGTTTAGTGCTGCGAATCCTTCCGATGTGATGACTCGAATCCTTGCCTTCTTTGCCATTGGATGTACTCTTCCGGTTGTTCTCCTCCTCGTCGTCGCTATTATGCGAAGTCATAGAGACGGCACCCCTAGTGCTGGTCGCCTGCATCAGCTCCATGTCTGGACCCGTCCTGTTCTCGTACAGCAATATATTCAGCGTCTCCTCATATATGCGCGCTTCAGGAAACTCCACCTGTAATTCAATCAACACATATTCAATATAACATTGGTGTTAACACTAGATCTCAAGTCTATCGGTTGTGCCAACACTTCGGGACAATAAACTGAGTATAAGTTGTCAACAATGCATACCTTTGTGTGCTTTTTATCGGTCGCGTATACAATGGAAGTGCAACAAACTTCGGCCACTTTCTTGCCGTGACCTAAACATACCATTCGTTTACATTTAATTCATAGGTTTAGTCATATTTAATGAGCAGATAATACCGTAGAAACTCCAGCAACAGATCTCATTGCTTCCGATCACGTCTTTGATAAATAGGACGCGACCACTGAATCGCAGCGAAAGTTTGTCGAACAGCTCTAAGTTCTTGAGAAGATTATCATCTGAAGTACTGGTATAGGAATACTTATTGTTGTGTCGATTAATCAATAGTTTCACAATTGGTTTAGTCGTTGTGTTTATGAGATGCGCCTCTTCTTTGGCGGATGTGATTAACTGTTCAATCGATCGGATATTTAGTTAGCATTTAATAGAGAATGGGTTCGCGAGACCGCAAGACATACCGGAACTCTGCAAATGGGCTCAGAAGATGTCGGTTCCCTCCAGAAGGACAACTGCTGTTCGCACGAGTCGATCAACTCTTGAATCAGATAGTATTTCGCTTCGGAAGACAGTTCCATGAGTTCTCTCTGCGATTCGGGTAACGGAACGGAACCGTCTCTCAAGAAGTTGAGAATCGATGAGAAGTGTTTGCCGCACCTGTCGATCAAAACCCAACCTATTTTTTCGGGACAATCATTGGACACAATTAGACCACAAACACCGCACACACCGTCCAATCCGATGGTTACCTTCGGAATCAGTTAACACTTCCATTCTTCCGCTAAACATAGCCCTAAGCATTGAGTCATTTTTGGTGAGCGTTCCGATCGTTGTGTAGTGCTTAAGACATTTCATAAGACAATCAATTCAATTGATCCCAACAGTCAATACTCAACACCTATTCAATAGTAAATACTTACAAGACTTCCGCCGACATTAAGCTTACAATATTCGTTGTTCTGACCATTCATTTGGGGAACAAACACATGGATTAGATGACAAAATCAATGGTAACCTCTGAAGTGTGTGTACGAAGACATACCCCTCCGGAGATGACAGTCTTGTGATCACTGATGCCGGACATGACCACACTCTTGACTATAGGAGTGCCCGCACTCGCCAACAGTTTGATTGCACTTCTTTGCCGACCAATCAATCGGCGGATATATAAGACAATTGGTGTCCAAATGTGTTCACATTAACCACTCATTTGGTGTTCAAGTGATTAATGAGTCAAACATTGAGTGAAATGTAAACAAAAGGGGCGGAGATTTGGAGGGCTTTTCACATATCGTGTATTCATTTCCTTATTTTCATCGCTTTTTGAGCGCCAATTGTCGCCAAACACTGACGCAAGACATCATCACTTGTCTGATCCACTCAAGACATACACACATCCACTACAGCGGACACCACAGCACACAATGTCTTGCAATGCAATCAATCGCTTGTTTGACATCTGTCTCAACAAAATTGTTGAAAACAACAATCAAAGTATACATTCAACCAATGAATCATTTTTTGTTACCATTAATTGTCTTTTAATTTATTCCTCGACATTAGTATCCGATGAAGTGATTGAGAAGTGAGACATTTGGCGCTAAATACTGTCCGCAAAATACTTAACTTTAGATTTGCTTTTAGTTTGATTTCATTATTTAGTGACGATTTCATCGACAGTATTGATCTCATTGATCACAGAAAAGTGACCATGGTCACCAATGTGGGCACCAATCATCACCCGAGTACCTCTTCCTCTGCCAACCACTTGTCCATCAACTCAAATGTTCACAATAAGAGGTATAAAGTGTTAACTAATGTAATGATTAAATGTTTGTCTTATTTATCATCGATTTGTATTTGATTTGCAAAAGAGTTGTATTCGAAGTCGAATCCAATGAAAGGAAGTCCTCGAAGACAGAGCCGAACCGTTACTTCTGTGTAATTGATGCCAATTATTGCAGTTGTGAAGCATTTAGAAGAGGTTAACCTTATATTAATGTCTTGTTTGACATAATTTGGGCAATAATTGTAATTGAATTATAGGTGTAATGAATGAATCGGTTGTGTTATGCAAACACTTGATTGCGTCCAAACTCTCAGAAGCGATGAATTTGTGTAAAATTGTGACTAAAAATAACGAAGAAATGGATCGCTTGTGGACTAAACATATTCTCATTTAAATCACAATTCAAGTCAACAGTTGGACAACAATTATCACATTTAATTAATTATTAATGTTTTAATTACTCCTTTTAATGTATATAAATCTTTAGATATTTATAATTAATTACATAATTAGTCGTTTAAATCACTAAAAATAGATTTTTAAAACATTGAGTTTAGTTCGGAACGAGTGGTCAGAAACTAATAAAAACTTAAATAAAAGCCTAATTTCTTGCGTTAATATCGAGGGCTTTATATTACAATTGATTGGTATATAAAGGAGAGAGAGAGAGAGAGAGAGAGAGAGAGAGAATGGTTGGCAACACAATTATCAAATTTATTCAAATCCATTGACACAATGGTTTGAATGGGAATTAAAAACTGATTTAATTCGTTAATAATATTAAATAAAAATAAAATCCATTAAAATTAATAAATAAAATATAAAATATAGTGTAAAATATACTAATTATATAATTAAACAATTTTGAACGATATATATTTAAAATCAATATACGTTATGATACGTATAAATCACTCAATCGTTATTATTATATAAATACTGAATATTACTCTTACTGTATATGATATATAGACTTAAGACTCGATTTATTCCAAAGTAATATATATTAAGCGAAATCAACACTAATATTGAACTATAAGAGACTTTTCTCGTCATTGGGTTTGTGGTCAGTGTTGGGTCTGTGAGGCGGTTGTTGTTCGAGAGCCGTCGCCCTCTCGGCTAAGAAGCGGTCGAATTCATTGCCGGCCAGCGATGGGTCCTCTTTCAGCCACTTCTCCATCTCATCAAAATCTTGTTCCCGTTGTGCCTAACATTCAAACACAT